GTGACTTTCTGTTCTAATTGCGTATATATTATATTGTATACACAAGATATATGCTATACATACAATATTGCTGTACAATTAGTTAATAATAATATATTTTGTGGGTATATTTAATTGCAAAATATAGTGTTATAAAATAAATGTGCATTATATATGTTTAATTTTTATTTTATTTTCTCTTTCAAATGCGTCTCGTTTTTCACTGTGAGTATTAAATATCTATATAGTGTAAACGAGAACTATAGATTTCTGTATTCGCTGTGAATAATGAAATAAATTAAGATAATTTTATAAAAGTTACTTGTTAGTACGCGTATTCAAATGTGCAAATTAGGTTAGGACATTGCTAGAACATAAATTAGAAAGAGAGAAAAGGTTATAAACAGAGAGCAGAAGTGAGATAGAATACAGTGCCCTGATTGGTTACGCGCCTCGGCCGCGCATGCGCACTCCATTTTAGGCTTCACTAACATCAAAGGTGCCGACAGAGAGTTGCGCTACTGTATATACTGTGCTTCCACTCCATCTGAAACGAACAAAACAGAGAATCTTCCTGCAGAAGGTTCTACCGCATGTCAGGAGAAAAAGAAACCTCTTCAGGTATTTCATTCTATCGAGTTAAACAAGATTAATCAACACACTGTTTTATTAGCCACTGCGCTAGTTTCTATTCGGTCTTCTACCGGACACTGCTGTCAAGCTCGTGCTCTTATCGATCAAGGATCCGAGATATCCTTAATTACGGAACGTTTAGCACAACGATTACACTTACCTCGAATCAGATCAAATATTTCCTTAATCGGTGTAGGTGGTAAGAAATGTAATACTTCAAGGGGAATAGTACATTTTCAATTAAAGCCACATTTCGAATCGTCATTCGAATGCACCGTACCCGCTCATGTTTTGCCACGATTAACTACTTCATTACCTTCCGCTTCTTCTAAGCAGGAATCATTGTTACATTTTAAAGATCTAATGGTGGCGGATCCTGAATGGTTTCAATCTCGTCAAATTGATCTCTTACTCGGGGCAGAAGTTTACTGTCAGATTCTCCAAGAAGGAATCATTAAAGGTCCCATCGGGTCTCCTATGGCACAATTGACCGAATTAGGGTGGATCATTTCGGGTCCTACGCACCCCCGAGTGTCCACTGATACTTCTTCCAGCTTTCATATATCCATTGACGATAATCTCTATCGTCTAATACATAAGTTCTGGGAGATAGACGAAGTCCCTTCAACTAACACCATTCTTTCTGCTGACGATCAAGCATGTGAAGATCATTTTGTTTCGACTCACTCTCGTCATAAGGATGGGAGATATGTAGTTCGATTACCCTTCAAAAGATCAATGACTCACCTCGGCAATTCACGGCAAAGGGCCGCTCAAATTATGTTACGACTTTCTCGTAAACTTTCTGTAGATTCTAGTTATTCAAAACTTTATACGGAGTTTCTAACCGAGTACGAGGAGCTGAATCACATGAGGTTAATTTCTCCACATTTACCGGAACCTCAGCATGTTTATTATCTACCGCATCACGGTGTGCAAAGAGAGCAAAGCCTCACCACTAAATTGCGTGTTGTATTTAATGGATCCAGCCCTTCGTCCTCGGGGTTTTCATTAAACGATTTATTGCATACTGGAGCGAAGCTTCAAATCGATTTATTCGACGTTCTCCTTTGGTTCCGTAAATTTCGCTATGTATTCTCCTCTGATATGGAAAAAATGTACCGTCAAATAGAGGTTCATCCCCACGATTGGGACTTTCAGAGAATCCTTTGGTGTGATCAATCACTCAATTTAAGAGCCTATCAACTCACTACTGTTACCTATGGCCTAGCATGCGCCCCCTTTCTCGCGTTACGTACCATCCAGCAATTGTTACTCGATGAAGGTTCCAAGTATCCTTTGGCGGCTTCGAGCCTGCAAAAAGGACGTTATGTTGACGATCTATTTGGCGGAGCAGATAGTATAGAGCAAGCACAAGAAGTCGTCTCTCAATTAGCACAATTGTGCATGGCGGGCGGCTTTAAACTTAAGAAATGGTCTTCTAACCAAGCCGAAATACTCTCTTCAATCCCCAAGGAAGAACAGATCTCATGTTTAACCGTAGGTTTCGACAATGAAGCCATTATTCAGACTCTTGGGTTGCAATGGTTACCATCTAGCGATCTGTTTCAATTCACTTTTAATTATGACATTAACTTTGACGTCACCAAACGCAAGGTTCTATCGGCTATTGCGAAACTTTTCGATCCGTTAGGCTTTCTGTCACCCATTATTGTAACAGCAAAAATCTTTATACAAGAACTTTGGTCGATAAAAATCAGCTGGGATGACCCCTTGCCGTCCCATCTTGTAGATCAGTGGCATAAGTTTTTAGATGCTCTTCGTGAGATACCTACCATTACCATCCCTAGGTGGATCGGAATTTCCAGTCAGAGCGTAGTCGAAGTTCATGGGTTCTCAGACGCTTCCCAAAAGGCCATGGCTGCCGTTGTTTATCTTCGAGTCATTGATTCGACAGGAGTTACCTCTGTCTATTTTGGTGCCTCCAAGACCAAGGTTGCCCCGTTAAAGCGTATGACGATTCCAAAGCTGGAACTGTCTGGCGCTGTCTTACTCACTAAGTTAGTTTCCCACATTTTGTCTGTTATTCAGTTAGCAAACGTACCTGTTATTCTTTGGACTGATTCCGCAATTACTCATGTTTGGCTCAATAATCATCCATCAAAGTGGAAAGAATTTGTTCGGAATCGGGTCAGTTTCATTCAAGAAACTTTGCCTCAAGCGGAATGGAAATTTGTACCCGGCCATCATAATCCTTCAGATATCGCCACACGAGGTGTTACTCCCTCTCAGCTTTCCAACCACACAGAATGGTGGCACGGGCCTCCATGGTTATCTCAAGATAAATCGTCTTGGCCACAACCTGTTACGCCACAATGCCCTGCGGACAACTTTGAAGAACAGCCTTCAATTGTCCACGTAGTTACCGCTAATCCAAAGACGGAATGGAGTCTTATCTCTCGATACTCTAGTTTAAATAAGCTCTACCGTATTACTGCCCTATGTCAGAGAGCTGTGAGTAGATTCCGCCGTGTTCCTTTGACCTCTCTCCCTACGTCTTTAACGACCGTTGAACTGAATAAGGCAAAATTGTTTTGGGTGCAAGTCACGCAACAATTATTCTTCCCTGAAGAAATTAACTATCTGACTAAGGGATTACCGATCTCTCGATCAAGTCCCCTCATTCGCCTGACACCATTTCTAGACGCATCAGGTTTACTCCGAGTAGGAGGTCGTTTACAAAACTCTCTCCTAAGCGAGGATGAAAAACACCCTTTGATTTTACCTCGTAAATCAACTTTGACAATGCTTATTATAGCTGACGTGCATCAGCGAGCATTACACGGAGGTACTCAAGTTACCTTAGCTACTATCCGTACTGAGTACTGGATAGTTGGTGGGCGAATCCCAGTTCGATCGTGGATCTTAAAATGTCTTAAATGCACCCGCTTCCGTAGGCAGCGGGCTCAGCAATTGATGGGACAACTTCCCTCCAAGCGTATTACCCCTTCTCGCCCTTTTACTCACGCCGGTATTGACTATGCAGGCCCTTTTGGTATAAAGACTTGGAAAGGAAAAAACGCCCGCACTTATAAGTCCTATGTAGTTCTATTTGTGTGTTTTGCTACCTCCGCCGTTCATTTGGAATTAGTCACCGACTATTCTTCTGACGCCTTTATAGCCGCATATAAACGATTTGTCTCAAGGCGTGGAATTTGTACTACTTTAACCAGTGATTGTGGCACCACTCTCAAAGGAGCAGATTCAGAATTACAACGGCTTTTTTCGCAAGCTCAAAAAATCATCCAAATTGGCTAATCTGTTAGCCAACAATGGTACTCAATGGCATTTCAATCCCCCTTCCGCACCTCATTTTGGAGGCAAGTGGGAAGCAGGGGTTAAATCCATGAAACACCATCTCATACGGGTAGTCGGCACTGCCACGTTTACTTACGAAGAGATGAGCACTCTCTTAGCTCAAATCGAAGCTGTAATGAACTCACGGCCACTGTGTCCATTGAGTGAGGACCCTGACGATCTTAGCGTTCTAACCCCCGGACATTTCCTTATGGGCTGTGCCCCATTGACTGTCCCAGAACCGTCTCTCGAGTTAGTTAAGACCTCTAGGCTGTCACGGTGGCAGCTTATTCAAAAAACTTTTGAGTCATTCTGGACCAGATGGTCTCAAGAGTGCTTACAGAGGTATTATTCTTGCTATAAATGGAATCGAGTCATGCCATCACTCCAAGTTGGAACCATAGTTCTAGTCATTGATGAACGCTATCCACCGGCTAAGTGGCCCTTGGGGCGAATCCTTGCTACCCATCCTGGGCAGGATGGCCATACCAGAGTAGTTACTGTTAAAACTCAAACGTCAGTCTTGAAACGGCCAGTAGTCAAACTGTGCCCATTGCCTGTTATGCACGACTCCCCGCAGATTGTTCATTAATTGCATAATGAAGGCGGGCGGAATGTTTAGAGTTAAAGGTCGCGCGCACGGCAGTGAGCACATGTTGTTGGTCGGTAACTCGACGACCGTTATGATCGATTAACCAAGAGATGCTCGGGAAGACCGAGCGAGGCGCTGAACGCCTTGTTTCTTTGTCCACGCTTCTTCTTCGTTTTGGTCGTTGTACGTTCGTTAGCCATCTTGTGAAGACGCCGGCCGGCACTTTGTGTTCTGCGTATTTCTGTAGTGAGAAATACGCTCTTTGGTTAACGTTGATTTATTGGTATTCCGCGCGAGGAGCTTTAGCTCAAGTGAGGCTCGTAGCCTGTGTAATAATGAAGTGAGGCAGTAGCCTAATCGCTACATCATAGCGACCGAAATGTAGAGAAGATTCTCGAAGGTCGAGAAGCGTACGTTCTACGAAGTAGACGTGCAACGATCCCCCAATGGTGGGAGTGAGAATTTTGATCCTCCAGGTACCTGTGAGAAGGCTAAAGAAAGATGAACTCGAGTAAGTTCAAATAAGCATTCAAGGCTTAAACCGAGGTTACGATCCGTGGCAATTTCTGCGGATATTTTGGCGGCTGGAAGCCTAATAAATTTGCTGATTATTTGTAAGTACTTTACTTTTCAGTTTTTATTCCACAGATTTTTTATAGTGTTTTTCACTCCCGTCGTGGTGTGGTATATCAAGGAGGATATTCAAATCTTACTTACTAGCTTCCTGTGCCCATCTCTATGACATATATATAGATATTTCTTATACATAAAATAAATAGTTGAAAATCAGTATTCAATAATCATATGCTTATTCTTTCTTTGTTTTTTTTTTATAATGATATCCTTGTCATAAATAACTTTACATGGTAGTAATTTCTTTGTTTCTATATCATCTTAATAACTCATACTGGAATATAACTTATTTTAAATTTATCTATAGTTTTATATTTGTTAAAAAATTGGCATTAATTAGCTATTGAACAACCACGAAAAGGAACTGATAAATTATTCAAGGTGCAAATTCAAAATTAACATACATACATACAAGTAAAACAGACTACAATTTGCATATTACAGTTTTCTAGAAAATAACTGCAATATGTTATTCTTAGTGCACAAAATATAAAAGTCGGTTATTGAGATTCGTTTTAAAATTTATACTAGCCCGTAAAATGAAAAATTATTGCTTGTAATTCCAGAGTACCAATCTGTTAATGACTCGCAAAAAGAACATGGCGGCCTGCTCTCAAAAGACTTCTGATGGGTGGAATAAATAGTTGTAAATTTTTGTTCGAGTAAGCAAAATTCAGAAATATCTTCTTATATAGAAAATCTTCAGAAATTAATTAAACATTGTTACTTGTTCTTTAAGTTCTAAGATTAAGATATAAATTCAGTTATAGCACTAATATATATTACTTGGATAACTTGTTGCATCGTATCTTCTGCGAGTAGTTCATTAATTACAAACCGTTACAACCGTGAGGTGAAAAAAACAATTAAAATAATGTCAATCTGATGTCATATTGACCGAATGTAATCGTTTCTTGATCATGACAAATATCTCGACCTCAAATGATAAAATGAAAAGAATAACAGTAATGAAAAAGTTAATATAAAGTCATTTTTAAGTCATTTGAGATCGAGATTTTTATCATGATCGAAAAATGATTAAATTCGGTCAATATGACGTCAAATTGGCATTATTTTGATGTCTCGTTCCCCTTTACTGCAAAATGAGTAAATATTATAATACATGAATCCAAAATCAAAAATAAGAAGTTCTCAGGTAAAGTACAAGGAAACTATACGGTTAAATAGTTTATTATTGATTATTTGACGTAATATGCAATATGAAAAATCAATATTAATTCAAGATGCAAGTGTGAAATAAGTGTCATTATGGTATAGATAAAATATTTTATATATGAGTGATATAATTCTTAAACTGCTAATGCAAAACGTAATAGTGTTTCTATGACTAATTAAATATTTGCATTAACCTGGACAAGACTCGATTTGTGAAATTGAGGATCATGCAAAAAAAGGTAAAATATGGTGAACCCTTATTTCATGCTAATCTAATCTTATTATTCAACTGTAATACTTTTGCTACTTGCTGTCATAAAATTTATTACGACAAGGTCATTAAACGTGGCAATTATTGAAGGCAGTATAATTTCTGAATTTTGCTTACTCGAACAAAAATTTACAACTATTTATTCCACCCATCAGAAGTCTTTTGAGAGCAGGCCGCCATGTTCTTTTTCCGAGCCATTAACAGATTGGTACTCTGGAATTACAAGCAATAATTTTTCATTTTACGGGCTAGTATAAATTTCAAAACGAATCTCAATAACCGACTTTTATATTTTGTGCACTAAGAATAACATATTGCAGTTATTTTCTAGAAAACTGTAATATGCAAATTGTAGTCTGTTTTACTTATATGTATGTATGTTAATTTTGAATTTGCACCTTGAATAATCTATCATTTACTTTTCCTGGTACATATTCAACATAGATACTAATATCATAAGTAACGCATTACTAATTTTAAAATATCACATGTGTAAACCAAAAATAAGTTTTAAAATTTATATAAACTAAGTTTATTTTTTGCAACAATAACTAAATTAGATAGTATACTGTACTTTACGGTTTATACACATAGATTAACATTTAAAAGTTTTTAAATACTTTAAGAAAGTAAAAATTATATTAATATGTAATACATATCATCAATATAACCTCATAACATCAATTTGTTTTAAAGTAAAGTATTTTTCACATATGATATCTTATATACATTAAAACGCTCTTTCACATTTTTTTAACATTAATTTCACAGCTCTCTTAATTAACAATTGCTCAAAATGTAGTATGTCCTCATTCAGTATGCAAAATTTTGTAATTCCAGGAAAAATTTTTAATTTTATCTTTTGATGAGTGAAAAAGTGTTAACATATATCACAAATTGATTTAAAAAAAAAATGTTATGAGGTGTACGTATTCAATAACGATTTAAAAAAATAGAGTTACAAAGTTCAATGGATGGGTTTAATAAACGATATGTATCATTTTCAAAAAAAAAAAGAAGAAAATCGTAATATAAAAAGGTTGTGTTCAGCAGAAAAAGCAGCTTTGTAACTGTTGTAAAATTTTTGAATATGATTTATATACATTTCGATCCAATGAAGAATTAAGGGCAAGACCAATCATATTAAAGAATTTTACAACAGTTGCAAAGCTGCTTTTTCTGTTGGATGCAGTCAATGTAATATTAATGTATAATGTATTATGTACTCTAATAATAGAAAAATGAATCCATTATATTAATTTAAAAAATAGAATAGTGAAACTATCTAATTTTGTACTCGGACTAGCTTGTCGTTTATGCGGATCGTACAAAAGGTTCGGCAGGAGGAGAATTCGCTTCGGATCGGTATTTCGGAAGTAGCGACTGACATAATGTGAACGCGCAGATTGAAGACATCGAATATGTTCCAGCAGGCGGGGCCGATGACAGAGCCTTGTGGGCATCCCCTCGTGGCCTGCTTGGAAACCGCCCTACCCGCGAATTCTATCTGCACCCTTCTTTCGCTGAAGTAGCTCCGGAGCACTCCAAAAACGTTTCCGGGGCAGTTCCTACCTTTAAAATTGCTCAGAACTAGGGGCCACCAGACATTATCAAAGGCACCCGAGATATCGAAGAGCAGAGCGACGGCGTGTCTCCCTTCGGATTCACCAACCATCCGCCTCAACTCCACGATAGCGTCCTCCGTCGACCTTCCAGGCGTGAACCCGTATTGCCGAGCGGAGACATTATCAGGCGCCAGTGATATATCGACTATTCGAGCTTTTAGAAGCTTTTCGAACAATTTCCCTACAACCGAGAGGAGACAAATGGGACGATAAGATTTCGGGTCCTTCTCGTCCTTATCCTCGCCCTTCAGGAGGACTCGGAGAGAGCCCACCTTCCAGGCTGAGGGGAAGACGCCCCACTGAAGGCACCCGTTATACAGCCTTACGAGTTGATCTGGAATTATCCTACACGACGCTTTGATAACCGTGACCTCGACCAAGTCGGGGCCCGGCGCCTTATTATTCTTGAAGGTCCTAACCGCCCCAGCCAATTCTCGCTCCGTAATCAACGGAGCGTCAGCCGTTTCCGGGAATTCTCGCGAGTTATTCCAAATAGTCTGTTGTTGCGGCGTGTCCTCACTGGCCCTATCCTCGGGAACATGCACGTCCAGAAGATAGCCGGCGGTTTGCTCTAATATCTTGGAATAGCATTCGCCACGCCGGAGTGCGTTAAGCGCCTTCTCAACCCGGAGCTTTTCAGCCTGTTGCTTGTAAACGAAGCCCCAGACGTCCGAGTTGCGGTGCGACGTAACGAAGTTCCTCCAGCTTTCGAGTTTAGTCCTTTTCACCTCCCTGCTGTATTCCCGCAAAGACGAGCGGTATTTATCGAGCAGCTCTTGGTGATTCGACTCTCCTTGCCTTCGGACGACCTCACGTCTTAACCTATATACTGACTTTTTGCGGATGGTCAGTTCGCTGGTCCACCACGGGTTGGATCTCCTAAACCTACGTTTCCTGGGCATCGAGGACTCGCAGGCCTTGTTCAGCACCACCGCGAGTTCTCGTGCCATCTTCTCCACGTCCTCCGCAGAATCCAGGTCGATGGCCTTGAGTCTAGCCTCCGACAGGCTACTTAGGCTTTCGGAGAACTTATTCCAATCAGCACGACGAGTGTCGAACCGGTTGGTCTCGGCTCCCCGATCATTGCCCGAGGCCCTCACCCCAATATCCACGGAATTGTGGTCACTACTTGTCCAATCCTCCCTGACCCTCCACTCGCCGATGAACTGGCTCATGGTCGGAGACACCAGCGTCACGTCGATGTACGACGATCCGCGGGCGGTCCAGAAGGTGAGAGGTTGAGCCGCGTCATTGACAACTTGAAGACTGAACGCCCGAATCAGATCTTCGAATTT